CCCAACCCCCCCTCCTCTCCCCACCCAACCACCACTAGGCACCCCCAAATCACCCTCGTGTCCACAAGTACCCCTTCTTTGTCAAACAAAGGCAAGTGTGAAACTTCACACTTGCCTATGTTTGACAAGGAAGGGGTATGTGTGGAGACAGTGGTGACGACCGAACATTAAAAGTTAGTATTCTAGTCTATATACATACATTCAACAATTTACAAAGAAACAAAAAGAAAGCAGTCACCCAACTTTGAAGACAAAATAAACCAAAAAACAAATAAAATAAATGAAATTAAAAATGAAAACAACAATTAAAGATATAAATTCACACGTTTGCAAAAATGGACACGAAACGTTGTTCAACACTCGTAACTCAAATCATACACGGAACATGTAATGGACATGAAAAGCAGTGAAGTACCAGTCACTGAAATCACACATGAAAAATGTAACAAAATACAATGAATCGTACTAGTGCCACATACTGACTAATAAAAAAACAGTATTGTACAAGTCGCGTCGACGGTGCTGACCCACTCTAGTGTACAGACACCGTACTCATACCAGAATCGGACACACTAAAAATGAAGAAAACAACTACAACTGCAACACGCACACGACCTGACTACCAGTGGCTACCTGAGAACAATGAGATAAGACAACACGACCAAAAAAACAAGAGCACATAATACGATAAAGTTGCGTGCAAGTAGCGGAAAGCGGACTGTTGGCATCATGGTCATCAACCCCTCTTCCCCTTCCCGCTATGCCTCCTCGTACCCCCACGAGTGCCGGATGTCGACCTCCCTTTCCGTCGTGCGAATGGCGATGTCTGCGCAAAAGAACGTCTCGAAGCATGCGTCGGTGGGGGGGGTGGGGACTCATCCTCCTCGTCGTCGTCGTCATCGTTGTGACCGCTCTCACTCTCCTCCTCCTCATCGTCCTCCTCACCCTCATAGTCCTCATCATCCTCCCACACTGCCGGTGTCGTCTCAGGATCCTCCTCCTCGATGGTGACAGGGCCGCCTGCCTTCCTCAACACAACAACCCTTGCACTAGCCTGTGAGACCGTCTGCTGACAGCAGGATCCAGGAGACATCCCCAACTCCTCCGCCCCCGAAGACTCTCCAAGTGCAGTGCCTCCCTGTGCAGGCACGGGGCGTGGACGAGGCACTCCACTCTTGCTTGGAGTCTGCTCATGCACTGCACGCGTCGCTGCTCTCAAAGCGTGGTCCAAGGTCGAGGTGGACTCTTCTATGCCTCGACCTCGCTGAGGCTCACAACCCGTTGCTGCAACCTCCTTCGCTGCGGTCGTCCTGGCGCCGTGGTGACCCAACCCCTGCTGAAGGCGAGCAGTGCGCTCAGTGACACGGCAGGTGGAATCGATATCTATGTTGGTCCTCCTGTACAACGTCGTGTCGCGCACATCACGCCCGACCGCTGTCGTGTCACGAACCCTCGATCTCACAGGCATGTGTGGGGATGGAGAGCCTCGGGCTGTGGGCGACGACGATGGATCACCCTCACATGGTCTAGGAGGAGGGGGTGGCATGTCTCCTGTACCTGGCCCTCTCTCCTGCAGGCCCCCTGAAACCCTTGGAACATCTGCCCTGCTCGGCCCTCCGCTGGAGGTAGACCCGGACCACACTCGCGACGCAGGGCCCCATGGAACCGAAGGAATCCTCTGCCAATGGGGCTGGTCGAGCTTAAGGTTAAATACCCGTCGGTCCAGTTGAGTCACATCTCGCACAGAGGCCACTGCCAACTCCTCGACATCCAATGGATGATCGACCTCCTGCGGAGCCGGTCGCCGAGGAATTGGACGCACAACCATCGGCTCAGACCCCAAATCCTCGATGATAACAGGTGGCACACCATGCACTGCCATTTCAGCTGGTTGCGACCGTTGGGCCTCAACTAAGTGCAGGCCCCAGAATGGGACAACTAGACCAGACTGTGTCTCATGAGCTGCCGCCGGTGTGTCTCCAGGGCCCCCGGAGCGCCCCTCTCCACCCTCCATAGCCTCATCCACTGGCTGTGACCCACTCTCCATACCCTCCTCCACCTCTGGTGCCACGACCTCCATAGCATCCTCCCCCACCACTGCCCCACCCTGCCAACCATCTCTCCCTGTCTCTCGATGCCTTCGCTCCTCCAAAGCCCGTGCGAATGCCTGAGCACGCGGGTCACTGGATGCCATCAGCCGAGCCCTCTCTTGCTCCATGATGTCGCGTGCTGCATCTGGAGACTCTGGCGTCGTCCTGTCTCTTGGGGTCTGTGTCCCCGTCTCGCTTGCCGCCTCGTCCCTCGATGGCGCCTGATCCGTCGTTGTTGCCCCGCCACAACTAGGGGGAACGCCCGTCGACATGTCAATGTCGAAGTGGGTCCCCATCTCCGAATCCGACATCCCCAACCCCCTCGCCACACCCGGGGTGATACTCGCCACGACCGGATCAAGCTCCTTCGTGATGAACTGCTGCACGAGGCGCTCCTCGATGACCTCACCACCCTCAGCGTTGGTGCATGGCAACATCCGACACCTGTGTCGCTGCGACTATCTCCTCCTTTGTTGCTGCCACCTCCCCCTCCACTGCTGCTGCTGATGGTGCCTCCTCCGCCGCCGCTGTTGTTATCTCCTCCTCCATTGATGCCACCTCCCCCTCCACTGCTGCCGCTGCTGCTGCTACTACGTCCCCCTCCACTGCTGCTACCTCCCCCTCCACTGGTGCTGCTGATGGTACCCCCTCCTCTTGCAACATCCCTGGGGAAGGTAATCGTAACCTCAGCCGGCGGATCACCCCAGATCTCTGCAAAACTCCGTGCTGAGGCAAGGAGGATGCCAACTCCTCCGTGTCCGCCGCTGCCGTCGCCTGCTCATATAGCGAGACTGGCGATGGTGGTGCAAGACTCGGAGCTGGAGGTGGCAACATGGACAACTCTTGCCTTGTCGAAGCAAGAATCATCATCCACGCCTCTGTGTAGCTCGTGCCTGCATGCGAGCCCCTGTCTCTAGCATCGCGCACATCACCCGTGGAAGTCACCTCCCCGAAAAGGCCCCAAAAATCCTTGTCTCCCCCCAACATGTCCCCATCCGTCCGGTCCGCCACCTGTCGTGCGGTGTGTGTCCTCGTCTCCTCATCATCCGGATCGTCGCGCGTCTCATCGCTCTCGTGGGGAATGCAGAGTGCAGAGTCATCTGCTGCCTCGGGTATCGACTCCTTATCTAAGTCATCCTCCCTGGGGTAGGGATGGAAAATGCAAGCACGTCGACCAAAAACGGCATCAGCAAAGGGCGGTGCGGAAGCCCCGATGGGATCGCGCATAATAAGCGCAACCTGCTGGGCAATCTGCTCCTCCGTCATCCCCCTGCGCGTGCCCATGTGCACCGGCTCCACCTCGAGTCCTGCCTTGCAATCGAGCATGCCCTCGTCCCGCTGTCATGGCAGCACATAACTGCATCCTGCCCGCCAATACTCTGTCAACCACACATTTGTGGTGATCTCAACTAGTTGCACGACCTTCTCGAAGGCCAACTGGTTGAGCTTCTTCGTGTGGATTCCCTCGTGGACTGCCCAGTTCCTCTCCGCTGGAGAGGCGTAGGACCACATGTGCATTACACGAAGAGTGCACCACTGCAACTCAGGCGCACCTGCCCCGAACTGGGACCACCAAGACGCGCACTTGATCGTCTCGGCGTCACCGCTACGGGGGTTCAGTAAGAACCCAGCACAGTGAGCAGGCTAAAGCATGTGCAGTGTGCGGGCCTACACACGCCCGATGATCCGGTCAACGAAGGATTGTCCCAAGGGAGCGCATGCGTCCGTCACACGGTGGACAAGATCCTGTGTCCACTCGATCATGAGCAACATGAACTGTTCTCCACGATCCATCCGCCTAAGCAACTGCATGACGGGCTCCATGATTTGGACGATGGTGGCCACTCTCTGCCACCAAGGATCCCATCTGATCTGTCGGCGCACCCAGCGCGCCATGATGCACACATCGGCGGACCATGGGATGAAAGCAAAAACCCGCGAGTCGTTCCCTCGCATCATGTCCTGCAAAGTGTCCTGCAGAGACAACAGCCTCTCTCACATGGAATAGACAAATGCGGAGCATGTCTCGCAGGAAAGAACAAGGCCCTTGTCGGGGTTGCGCCTCCTAAAAAAATGAAGGGTGGTCTGGTGGGTTTTGAAAAACACCACCAGCACACGGCCGAGTGTGATTGTGTCCACAAATGCGTAGCAACTCGTCCCCATATCTGATAACAATTTGTTGCAAACATGGACGGAGTAGGCATGGTCGCCGAGGCCATTGCCCTTGCAGCCCCCACGTATGCAAAAGTGGAGTCAGTGCATATCGCATTGACCCACTGCGGACCACCGAACCTTAACTCGTGGATGGTAACCCATCTCTGAAGGGTGTGCTCTTCGTCGTCTGGTTCGCCCTAGTGATTGATCGTCATGTACATGACGACCCCTCGCGAGCCTGCGGCAAGGAAATTCACGATCGGTCTCCTGTCTTGTGATTTCCTCCCGTCAGGTAGGATGGTCGCACCAGTCACCCAGAATGGCTGCCTAAGCTCCTCCAACTCCTCCGTCAACTCTGCATGGTGGGTCTCCACCGCCCGCATACTCGCAATCTCGCTGTGGCTGGGGAGCACAACGAGCGGGGAATTGCCAGGCTACTAAAGAATCCCTTGTTGATATGCCTTCCATACCTGATTACAAAAGAAATTGAAGGAGACCCCGCTGGAATAAAGCCTGCAAAGGAAGGCCTTCTTGTGGTGAGCAACCCACTCACCACTGTAGATCTCAGTCACCTTCTGCTGGCGAAGCCTCTTTCCAGCTGGGGTGGCAGCCGAATCAGCCCCTCCTTCCTTCCTCTTTGAAAGACCCTCCCCACTCGCACCCTCCGTTGCATCCTTGCAGGCACCTGTCCCTTGCCTGCTCACCGGAGCCAGTCCTCCATCATCTCCCAGTAGGTGGATGGAAATCTGGCACGCCCTCGTGTCCTGGGACAATGTCGTACCCCCGTTCACTGTTCACGGGGTCTGTGAACGGAGTCGGTCATAGAGTTCACAGAGTTCACATTCACGGGAGTTCATGGAGTTCACGGAGAGCGGTATGGTTTTTTTTTTTTTTTTTTGGCTGAGGGGGTATGTTTTTTTTTTATAGGTGGGTGGGGGACATCGACGGGTAACTCCCTATAATACTTTCAAATTTTTTTTTTCATGAATAATATTTGTTTTTAATTAAAAACGAAAAAAACAAAATCCACCAGCCAAAATTAGCATTTTCTTTTGCTATTTTGTAGT